TGGGCTCTCTTTCTTCGGACACTCAGTCATCTGATCGGTCGTCGGCAGTTCGATGGCTTTTCTCTTTGCAGCGGCTGCATCCTCTAGACGGATCTGTCGCTCCTCTTGCTTGCGCCATTCCTCCATCTTGCGTTCATACTCTGCTTGTTCAGCAAATCTTGACACAGCCATCATCTCCCAGCATGCGATTATGTGAGCTTCATCGATGAACGCGATGAACAAGAGAGCCAGATCGCGGAACGAATCGTAGTCATTGCTGACATCTTCGTCGGAGAGCATCTCGAGTCTTTGAGCCGTGAAATTGGCAACAAGGTCTCTGGCGCGGTCTTGCTTCCCGTATAGGTGAAAGAATCGGGCTAGCTGGAGTAGGCAGAGATCAGGCATTGGAAAACCTTCATCTAAGCCTTTGAGCAAACCCTCTGTCTTATTGGCGTAGATTTTTCTTGTATCGGCGGAGGTATTTTCAGCGAAAGCTTTGTTGTTGTAGGCGACTAGAAGAGTAGAAGCGACATCGAATTGCATGAACGGTACTGGTACTCGCTCAATGACACAGTTCTCCTTGAAGATACCCTCCAACATCATCACACCTTCGTCCTCGTGACCAGGCCGACGGAACAAACCGATAGCGTACCACATATTTGTGTAGTTATTCCAGTACGGGTCTCTTTCTTGGTCACTGGACTTTTTGTTGGTGCCTCTCCACATCTCCGCGAGCAAATCCCAGCGCTCGGTACGATAGCAAGCGTTCCACATCGCGTACCAGAACTCCCCAGTGTTGTACGCGGTTCCGTCGCCAAGGATTTTGCTGGCCAGATTCATGCCACCAAATGTGAATGAATGGAGCTTCTCGCAGAACTCGATAATGAGTTTCCATTCCCTGCGTTGCCCAAGCTTGTTCGCGATGAATTGGCGGTAGCTCCCGGCTGCAGGGTCTTGGGTTTGGTCCAAGGCCTGCAGGTAACTATGAAATGCCTTTTCCGTACCGGAATTGTCGGGCATGTTCCAATAACGATCGCCCAAGGTTTCTAGTACACCCGCAAATGACTCCCGATCGTACTGGTTGAGTGTGCCGGGAGGACGATTCGAAACTTTCTCAACGATGCTTTCGAGAACCGAGATCGCCTCGGCGTCACGATCCTCGTCGAATGAGCGGGTCAGGTTGTAAGCAGCGAACCAATCATCAGGATTAAGTTTGACCGCTCTCCGGGCTCTCTTCTCGCACTCATATTTCGGCATCTCGATGTAGTATAGTAACCTCGCCATTTGCGCCTCCCAGTGTGCATCATTCTCTTCAATGCCAAGTTCTTCCTTCGCCCATGTCTCTACCGTGTCAAATTCGGTCATAGTAGGTCGGAAGATTTCGTCGTCGTCAATTCCGGACTGTGTGGCAGCCATAGGGTCCTTTTCGCGTTGCTCCAACTGCGAACGTTAGCCTTCTTCTTTCCTGATGACTTCTGGCTCGAGATCCCTCATAAGGTTGCGAGTTCTTACCCGTTTAACGAGCCCAAAAAGCAGACTGAACGCATCCGCCATGGTGTTTTGATAATGAGTTACCTCGAGCAACTCCTTAACAATCACTCTTGCTGCCGCTTCGTACCAGCTCGTCCCACCAATGCCATTGAAATTGCCCAGCGTGCTTGGTGCATCCTCTCGGTCGCGAAGCTTCGACATAACCATTGAGTCGTCGGACCACTTGCTCATGAGATATGCGCCCCTATTTGAGAAAACCCAAGTTCTCCAGTTCCCAGGCATTAAGACATCGCTTATTACGCACAACGCATCCCTATCAGGGCCATAGTCTCTTGCAAGGAGAGTTTTGATGGCAGATTCCTCCGTGAACAGGCGGGCCAAAAGTTCTCCGGCTTCCGCTTTGAGATTGCGGTCAGCTCGGGAGAGGTCAGTCTCTTCCAAGTGATCGAACAGCCAATCTGTTGCGTAGGTCCGGAACTTGACTGCCCCAGGTGTCATGTTAGTCTGCCCATCCAATATGCCGTGCAGGCACCTCATCGCGAGAATGAGATGAGCATTATCGGGGTCCTGGCAGATGTACTTGGTCTTGCGTTCTAATTTTTGAGCAAAGAACTCTTCGAACCCAAATTTGTCGTAGACATCTGACGGGCAGACCGTTGATAGGTAATGTTTGACGATTTTGATCTCCGCCGCCGAAATCTGCTCTTCGCTGCCGTAGTCTGTGCCACTTGACTGATACCTTTTCACAGGTATAATATCCCCTATCTCTTCCGCACTGAAAGAGATGTCCCGGTTATCTTCAATCTTGAACAACAGAGAATACTTTTCCCGGATCTTAGACTCCAAAGATCGAAGTGAGACCTGACCGGATGCCTCCAAATTTGTGTTCAAACGTATGGCAGCTTCCAGCTGTAGAGGAGACATCCATCTCCTTGCCCATTTCACCCATACGATGATTTCATTGACTTCATCAATCTCGGCCGATTTGAGCGTCATGTTGAGCTTTTTGATGTCAGCAAGAATCTGCTTGGGTCTGGCGCTGCCAACTTCGTTCAGGCATTGTTCAATCTCGGACAAGGAGTCAACACCCTCAATGGTGCTTAGTGCAGAGTTCGTAATATAGTAGTCGCCGGAGGTCGCAAATGTGAGCCTTGATAGAATCATCGTTCTAGTCTCGGCAACGCCAGCTCGACTGGCGTCATTCAAAGTTTCCATTGCGTCCATCCTGGCTATGATGTATAGCTCAATGTCAATGGAGTTCCGGAAACCGAGTTTCATTCTGGTGACTCTCATGTCACCCGCTTCCTCAAGCACGTCGAAGCTATGTTGGTTGCCCGTAATGATTACACGCGTGCGTAGACGAGATGCGTCTGCCGAAATTCTCTGTAAAAGACCAGCGAGCCCATTGATATTGTCGCCCAGTCCGTCTATGACGATGAAGAACGTGCTCTCGATGCCTGGGCGGTCTTCGTTCTCCAGCAATAGTGTATTCCAGATATCCGATGGATCTTCGGTGTTCACCTTGTCACAGAGTCCAGCAATGGACTTGAGGTACGGAAGCTCCATCTGAGCCAACTGCCACAAGACACCTTTCGACACCACTTCGGCGACATGCTTCTTCTTGAATGTGGCCTTGGAGTTGTCCTTTGAATCTTCCTCGAGAAAGTAGTACGCAATCGCCGACCTGGCCTTCGCACTGTTCGATAGTCTGTGTTTCTGTAGTCGACTGATGATATGAGTTGCCAGGAGTGTCTTTCCAGAACCTTCCCCACCCTCGATCCCAAGGATCGGACTTGCTTCGTTACTGCCAGTCATCCACGAGGTGAATAGGGTATCATCGTCCAACCATTCACCGGTGCCATTGAGAAGCAAGCTCTTATTCTTGCGTAACGCGGCATCCCATGTGTCGAAGTCTTTTGCGTTCTTGCCGAAGAAAACTTCTTGGACCTTGCTTTTGAAGTGCTGATCCAACTTGTCTTGCTTCTGCGCCACATTGCTCTCAATGAGAGTGTCAAGTTTGACGACACTCTCTTTGGAAGCTTTGGCAGCGTCTTGGCCAGCCTTGAGTGACTGGGCAGAAACGAGCCTATGCTCTCTGGCGGTCAGGTTCTCCATCTGACCGAGGAGGTCCTTGATGAAGTCGTCGTCCAGGAAAAGTTGGCGAAAAAACATCTCGATCTTGCGTCTTTTCGGCTTGAGCTGAAGAGTGCGATCGCAGACGTCGATGAAAAGTTTGAGTTGACAGCAAGCCACCTTTCTCAGAGACGCATCCATACCACCATAGTATGGTAGACGCTCAAGAAATTGGGCACATTTCTCAAGCAGTTCCGCGAGACTCTCGAACACCGCCGAGTATGACTGCCATGCCCCAATCACAAACGTGAGAGCGTTGAAACAAGTGTTTGCCGGGGCGAAGGCCTAAACAAGAAACACGCCGATTAGCACGAATCATCTCAGTCAGAATACCAATAGAGAATCTTACATACGAAGCGCCATCAGCAATGATACCTCCAACTTTGGAAATGCAATTCAAAGTTCTGTTGAACGCTTTCTTGACAGTGCCGTGTTTGTCGGCTGCTTTCTGATCCGCTGCTTGAGTCTCTTCCAGAAATCGCATAACTCCATCAATATCAAGTTGTTTGTCGATCTTCGATGGGTCTCCTCCAGCCATACGGATGACTCTGTTCTGTACTTCGAGCCATATCTGACTGACTTCATCGTCGGCGGCATTCTTCTCGGTTGTCGCGAGGACGACCACCGTGGTCTTCTCTGTCGTGGCCGTCATTGTTGTCCCTGCAACTATTGATACAAACAAAGAAAGACTTGTACGATTGGCCTCGGACGTGAGGAGGATAGCCGTCCACCAATTTAAGGAGCGAGCACCAAATGGAGTCAAGTGACAATAGGGAGCGGAAAAGTAAATTCGTAAACCCATAATCTAGCTGCATATCATTAGCGCTTACGATGCCACGCTGCCATCCATTCCCCGATGACCCCTGTCTGCAGACATCCGCTTTATTGGCCGCCGTCAGATTCGGTCACAGTGGGATGCTGATTGTATTTAGGCAGCATGTTTCCCAAGTGCCACCACAACCCTTTGCGCTGAGAGACATGTCTGAGGAACATGAGCTTCAGGGGCAAGATGGCCAGTCAATTCAGCTACAGCCTGCAGGACTGTCGATCTCACGCTAGCGAGCCAGTGCCTCTTACGTCTTCTCTGCTTGTGAGACTGCGGAGTACAACCTATGTCTCTGGGGGCGGCCTTGGTTTTTCTAGTGGTCGCTGTCTAAATTGAACCACACAAATGGTGTATCTTTGTTAGGAAACGTCACAGCGCACAGCACTTGCATGCCACTCGTGCATCGTGGCTGAGAGGTACCTAGGCTTAAACTAGGTTTTAATTTTAGACATGCAGATCTCCCACCATTCTCTGACTATTATTATTTAGCTACAACTCCCATTCTCTGTAAGCTTAATTGTCTCTGTGCCATTGTATGGGGGGGAATATTTGGTGCTTGCACGATTACACGATGTCTACATATCACCGACCTTTACCAGTCCAACAGATAGGCTCGTTAGAGTTGGATCAAGATGATGCGTCTACAGGATATCACGCCCCTATGGAGCAGCTATTCATCAGCGACGAGGCGACTGATGGGCTTTACGGCTCGCGAAACCCGCCTCGCATCAAGAGAAAGCCGCTCCTACATCTAAAGTCGACGTCGTCCACAGATCCCGACGAAAATATGATGATGGAGCATGCGAGCCAAACATCTAGCCGAAATCTTTTGAGAAAGGCGACTACTATTTTGCCTACAAGTCAGTATCACTGGATACTTGAGGTTCTCGCAGTCTCACTCAGCATTTCGGCCCTCGTCGCTATTGCCATCCTCCTCCCTCTCTATAACGACAAACCCCTGGCATCTTGGTCGTTTCGCTTTTCCTTCAATACCGTGGTGTCAATTCTTGGGGCCACATCAAGAGCAACACTGGCATTCGCTGTGAGCGCATGCATCAGTCAAGGAAAGTGGAACTGGTATAGAAAACGAGATGATACAATCATGGTCTTCGATCGTTTCGAAGAAGCTAGCCGTGGTCCTTGGGGAAGCGTCAGGCTCCTATGGTGGTCGAAGCTAAGGTAGGTTTGGACATCATTTCCGTTTAACTATTTGGCAAGCCTCAAAGAACTTGCAGTAACACATCATTCACCTCAGACACTGGATTGCGCTCGGGGCATTATCGACAGTCATTTTGGTGGGCTTCGAGCCATTTTTACAGGCTATAATTGACTTCGAGGGCGAAGAAATATCTTTTTCAGATCCTATCGCCAAGGCAACGATCGGAAAGACTGATAGACTTGACATCGGCTCTCATATCAGCATCTCAGGAGCTGCAGTCGCACTGACGGTGCCCGACTTTCCAGGAGAAGCAATCACTGGCATCTCAATGTTTTCCCAGTATGACTTTGGTGCTCTCGCCGCAATGTGGGCTGGTTTCTCGAGTCTCAATTCCGCTGAAAGCCAGAATGTGGCGTTCACTTGCCCCTCAGGCAACTGCACCTGGGCCCCTTACACATCTTTAGCAACATGCAGCTCATGCAGCGACATCTCAAAGAACATTGTCAAATCGACCGGCAGAGCCAACTTGATGAAGGCTGAAGATGAGAGTCTCACAATGGTAAACTTCATCTCGTCAGGTTCAATACATCTGATACCCAACATGACGGCTGGCTACATCAAGTACGAGATCCCGGCGCTCGGTATGAACATATCAAACATTGATGGAGCGGCCGTAGCGGCCTTGAGGGAAGACAATGAGACGATTATAAACACAGAATTGACAGCAAAAGCAACAACCCAGCCAACAGAAACAATCAGCTTCCGCGACATGAAGTCCCTCATAATATCCTTTGCAATGATGAAGTCCAGCAGCGACTTCAGGGAAAGCAAGCAGGCATGGGACGACGCGACCATCGTAGCACATGAATGCGCTCTGTACTTCTGTGCCAATGTGTACCAAACCACGATCAAGCAAGGTGCTCTAGAGGAGAATATTTTGGGTTCCTATGTGAACAGGAACCTTGATTCCTTTCTCTCCTTGAATCCTCGTGAATCTGAGCTCTCGAAGGCATACAACGAGTACACGAATTACACTTTGAACTACGACAAGTCAGACTTCAACCGAACCGACCTCCAACTGTTGATTTCGCCGGAAGAGTATCGTGCCGCCACCGGTCTAAACACAGAAAACAGCTTGCGATTCAATATCTCACAAAATGCGGCTGGAAGCATCACTGGAGCATTCGCGAATCAATTCGCCCGTCGGCCTAGCCCTCTGAGCAAGAAGCAGCTCGTATACCCGCCGCTACGTCGATCACCTCAGGTTCTACAACAACAGCCTAACGTAATCACAAGCTTAGGGGCATCCCAAAATTTCACGGCAATGTTTGAGGCAGCCGCAGCTGGTTTGACAAAGTACATACGTGATCTCTCTCTGGAAGAGGAGCCCTTGGAGGGCAAGACGCTGCAATGGGTGGTTCATATCCGCGTACGTTGGGGGTTTCTGTCTCTTCCAATGGCAGCATTACTGGCCGGTTGTTTGTTCTGCCTGTTCTCCATTATCGAAACAAGACGGCTGGGACTGCCTGCCTGGAGAGGAAGTTCACTGGCAGGGCTAGCCCATGGACTCGATGCGGAATCTCGGGAGAGGCTAAGAGCTGCGGATGGTATTTCGCAGATGGACGCGCATGCTGATCGTGTTAAGGTCCGATTTTTAGACTCGCCGATGGGTCCGGAACTGAGACTGAGCGACACCAGAAACCATTAGTGTCCTGCTACATTTTAGAAATTTGAGCTCATTCCATGGTATTCCTGATCGTTCTTCGGCTTGGTGTGAGTAATCTGTGCTCTAGCTAGTTATTGTTGTAAGTGCTTCGCTAGCTCGGGAAGCCTGGTCGGCAAGAGTCCGTTGAAGTCAAAATTTGTACCACATCTGACGCGAGAGTCATTTGATCGGCATTTTGCAACGGAACGCACGGAGGTCCTGTCTTTAGTATCCTTGGTACCTAGATAATGGATCAACAAAAGACCGAGGCCTGCCTCGTGCTTTAAGTGGTTGAAAGAGCGCACGATCGCAAGTATGGCGGACCACGAGAACGAAAACGAGAAGCATAAATCTGACGAAAACGGTTACTCTTGTCGCGAATCGGTGTTTACCATGCGTACGGCTAATTCTGCCTAAGGAAATCGTGTTAAATTGCTCTCAAGACTGTCCATGTGACACTGGAGATGGTGAGTCTCAGATAGTGCTTTTCTTGACTCGTCCTGGATGTAATTCTCGGGAAGCCTTACTAAGACTTTAGACTAATTGGACCAATGATCCGCAGGTCGGTCTAGAGTATGGACTCGATCAGGCACTAATAGCGCGTAGAGTAATGATCATATACTTACTGACAGTAATACCGTGATCCTAACTCCTGACCATACCTTAAATGGCTCATTGAAGATCATGATAGCCTTTGAGGAACTAGTAATGATATGGTAATCAACAAATCTGCTTGACTGATCCAGGTTCCAGAAATCACTCTAGGTACATGTAACTTCTAGTCTTGTATAGACATGGAGACATCCTGATCGCGCCAGACGACTCCATAAGACCTTTCGCTTGAATACGAAAGCTTCAGATGCGAAGATCATGTAAGTCTTGTAGAGAGATACTCAGATTGTATCAGGATCATGCGCAAGCTAGCAGTAAGGTTATTGCCGGTAAGGGTGAAGCTGGACACCATTGACTTTCTCAACACCCGTTGACTCTATCTGCGCTATAGATACTACATACCCCTCGCCTTCAGGAGTGCTCATGATCTCATCATTAACTTGCAATTGCCAACTCTTTCCACTGTCACTTGTTCCTCTGTTCTCAGGTTAGTACCTAGGCATTGTGCTGCACGTAAGCACCAGGATTGTGAAATTAAATAATAACTTAAGATACTGCTTGGTGTCTTATCAATTCAGTCATCGACGGCATGGTGCTTGTTCCATGATAGCAGGAGTTGTCAACAACGTCCTAGGAAGGCGTTATTAGCCTGTTAGACGACCGTAAATTCAGTATCTCTTTCACAATGCTTACATCCGCGCCTCGATGTGTTGGGTGAACGCTAGGGATTGGCTAATAGCTCTTCCAAGAAGCTGGCCTCTCTATCGACAATAAATAATAGACAGTAGACTCAAGTGTTATCAGCCTCGCAGTAAAACAAGCCAACATGCTAAGGAGTACTCAGAGGCGGGTTCCGATCGCAACGTGGCAGATCACACATCGGGTTCGTCGACCTCGGATGATCTCGATGTCTTTTGCCCTAGCCCGACGTTCTCACATGAGGCTCTCACATGTTGGTGACCGCCTGAAGATGTTGCACACGCGGCGCCGAGGCAGCAGGCTCGTAGTGTAGTCTGCCTCAGTTGAAAATCTGCCTTGACTAGCACATCTCATCTTGTCGCCAAGAAATCTCATGACATATACGTTGCTGATCTACACGCGCTGACTTCAATAGTCCAAGTCAATTGTCAGGTTGTGAGTTGTGATTGAAGGCCTGGCGTGGCCAAGTCAAAATGGTCTTGGCAGCAACTTTCTACGATAATCGAAACAGCGCCTAGAAAGACTGATAATAGCCGCGATTGTAGCTTTGATTGAGCCCATGGAAAGGCAAAATCTAACGACGTGGCGAGCGCCAAGCCAAGCGCCTCTTTGCCTTTCGCAGTCAGTTGATCGGGAAATCGGCGCGAGGGCCAAGAAGCATCAAAAATGCCAAGACATCGTGATGTGACAATCGGCGGCGGTTGGCTTCATGTGATGAAGAGGCGAGCCTGGTTTTAATCTTACTCGCTCAGCTGCGGGGAAATCAAACATTTTGGTGTAAAATTAGATAGATGGCAAGTCTTGGCAAATTTGGGGGCGGCGACTTTTCGAGTGCTCTTCAAGGCGGAATCCAAGGGGCCCTTGGTCAGAGCTGTCAGTCCTGCGCCACGTTCCGTGTGCCATTATCCCGGCTCAGATGTGCCGATGAAGGGTGGGTACATAGAGAGCACATAGTAAAGTTGGAGTTCCGTTGCAATCGGTTCCGACGGAGCGGAAGTCACGTCCGGGCGGTGTCTTATCGAGGCCCGAATGCATCTCTACCTTAGTGCCCTACATACATAGTAGCCTCATCCCACCAGCATGGTTCGTCTTCATTCTCAAGGTCTCGGGCAGCATTAGTCACCTTGTCTTGGTGTGAGGCCAGCAAAGGGATTAGGTTATTCGGTGGCTTGGCCTTTCAGGCATGCAACGTCATTCTAGGGTCCACCCCGTTGGCTGTTTCACCTTCGAAAGCTTAACGGCCCGTTCCGAATGCCCTCACAGTACTTACTGCTATTAATAAACAAGCGATGCTGAACTGGCAGTTTCACGAGGAAGAACATGGCGAGCGAGCTATTATGTCTAACGTTTCATTGGCAGCTTTGTAGCATAGCGAGAGATGTAAGAGTCTACTTCCGTGATAGGTTCATCCCTGAGACTCACGGCATGTCAAAGGAGGTGAGATGCATCTATTGGGCTAGTAATTCGGCAGATCGCGAGCAGCTTCCTCAACCATAACTTCAGCTTCCTCAGAACCAAGCTGTTGGCCAAGCTGTGAGGAGCTATGATCCCAGTAGCAATAAGCACGCGGGAAGCTTCCTGACGCAGAGTGATCAACTGTCGATCCAGGTGAAGCAACAACCGCAACACTCAGGGTCTTTCGCAGCTTTGAGCATACTTGGCATGCCAAGTCACACAATATGAGGGCCCAGTATGTAGTCCGACGTCCATTGTCTCCAAACAACTATTGGGAGCTGACATGCCAAGTCGGGGATAATCGAGCTCTTTTTCATAGTGCTCCGAGAGAGCAAAGTTCACTATTCCATGTCGAACAGCTGCCACCGGCACTGGCCCGAAGCGGTCCAGATCGTCATCCCATGTTGATAATCCCCAAGAAACAGGTGGAGTAAGACGGCTTGCTAGGATTTGGGTAGATCGGGGGTTTCTTGTCACATCACCTTACAATTACACTATGAAATAAGTCGGGTGTTGGATTAGCAAGGTAAATGCAAATACTTCTTCAATACATACTCTAGTTAACATGCAATCTCTATGTATATCAATCGAAAGGTGACGTGACCAGAACGACCTCAACAATGCGGAAACAAAATGAAACCAAGCAGCTCCCTTTCCAAGAAATCTCAGCTCTGTCTAGGTATGAAACTCCCCCAACCCATGATGACCGAGAGGGTGTTGCCATCCACCATTAATCCCGTCACATTTCTCGTGAAGCCAATCTGATGAATCTCATCAGCTCGCAGAAGTGGAGGTCTATTGCGTCTGATGATTGGAAGAAGCCTTACTTGCGCAAGTAGTGGCTTGTCTCGGTTGTATGAGAAACATTGTCGTTGCGCACGCCCCCTCGGTAATCCATAGAATAGTTCCCGAGCTGATTCTCGGAGTCCGAGTTGGGAACGATCTCGCCATGTGACTTGTTGATAATCCGGGAAGGGTGGAACCAGTTGAAAACCCCCGACACAATCAGCATCATTAGGGCATCAAAGATGTAAAGGTACACCTCCTTCGACTGAAGTTCCCCATCTTCTCCCATGACATACTCAATAACTCGGAAGAGGGATCGGACCATGATGAGCAAGCTTGTTCCATAGAGAACCATCAGTAGCTTTGGCCAAGGGGTTGAGACCGATAAGCTCCTCGAGGTGGGTACACGCTTGATACGATAATGGAACAAGACGGTCACAATCATGAAAACCCCGAAAAAGGCAATCTGAATGGCCAAGCCGATGATGATGATCATCTGCCCGCGATCTCTCTGCGCCTTCGTATCAGCACCCGCAAGAGAGCCGCCACCTCAGAGAAATCGTTAGCCGTTAAGGTTTCATACATCAAGGCAGTCTTCATCTCTCACCAATAGCTTGAGCGGCAATCGATATGATGTCACCAAGGAGAAACAGCTTGGTAATCCACTTGACTCGAATGAGCGAGTGTTTCTCGGCATCAAGCAGTGTAATCAATCGTCCGAAGATCATGTAGATTGATGCTGCATAGAAAGGAGGTCCAAGAAGCAACAGTAGAGCTTGGATGATGTATGGACCTCTTGACCAATTAGGGGTCTCGGTAGCATTGATCGCGCGTGCAGCATAACCGATGATCTCAACTGCAAATTAAGACGTATTAGTGATGCCAGAAAAGCAGGGGCGCACTTCAAATTCTTACCAAGACAACCGATGAAGAATGGGATGAAGTACCATGTTCGCGTCTTCACGATCTGAAAGGCATGGCCAATTGCAGACAGACCGAAGCAGACTGTGAAGATGATTGCCGCAGGAAGCGAAGGGTCGTACTTGTAGTAGTCGTTGGCCATCTTGTGATCTGTGCGGGGCGAGATCTTTCAACCTGAAGGTGAAGGTTTTGAAAAATACCAGAGGCGAAGATTAATGAAGTCTTCGACGGTTGAAGTAGGCTAAGACTTGTTATAATTGATGGCATTGTTTCTTCTTCATGTTCCCTATTTCTAGACGAGATGTGCACGTCTTTAAGCACCAAACCCGCCATCTTGGATATATCAAACTCCATGCTAGTCAGCTTTCGCTTCTCCTATCGCTGCATCTACGAATCTTGAAGCTGACGGCAAAACGAAGCTATCTCTGCTTCGCCTCGAACCGTACCTCATACGCAGAATACGATATACGAACCCTGAAACGAGAACGAGAAGAGAAAACGAGGGGAGCTGTGCTATCGGCCTCATTATG